AGTATATACTGTGTATATATATATATATATATATATATATATATGCACCAAATGTTTCTTAGTGTACTTTAATACAGTAAAGTTAGTAGAAAAAGTATAAAACTGATGACAAAATCCTTCAGAGGGGCCCAAACCTAAAGACCAGAATATCATAGAAACTTGAAGACAGTCTCTTTTGTCTTGGGTTTATTAGCAACCACCTAGCAACCACATTTTCTTCAGAAACAATGAAATGTTAAAAACATATGTTATAAACCTGAGATATCACCGTTATTGAAAAAAATTATATCGCGATACATATTGATATTGAATTATTGTCCAGCCCTACCTGAGCTTGTTGAGCAAACCCACTGACTGGGTTGAAAAAACCCAATTTACACCATAATTGACCGTCAGAGGACCACATGCACCCTTCATGCTGTAAATTGCATAGCTGCATATCTGAAGCAGCGGCGTATCCATTTGCTGAGGTTAAGGGGCCTCAGATGCAGCTGTAGAGAGTGCAGCGTGACCTTATTAAACCCAACAGATGTTCCCTCTACACTCCCCTGCCTTTCTGAATTAGCATGAGCGCTGTCTACAGGCCTGGAACGTTCCAGAACGTCCTCCGTTTTTGGCCATTTTAGGTTGAACGGTCCATTGTGAATTCATTCTGTGTGATTGGGTGTTATAAAACGAATATCCTGCCATTGAATAACATATGGTGAGCTGATCATTAAGGCACATGTGGTGAGATGGAGGCATTTTAACAGTCTGTTCATCTTACTTGCTCCTGTTGCTTCATAATCTCTACAACAGCAATAACCATCAGGGCCTGCAGCAAACGAGCTAGCCGGGCTAATGAATGGCTTCAAATAACACACACAGACTTCCCATCTCACTTGAAAAACAATTACACATGTAGATCTACAGATTAGCTCTTACTGGTGTGCCTCGCACATGTGCGGTCCGAAGGAAAGCAGTAATAGATTCTCTCCTTTGAGTAAATACAGTCTATATCAAACTGTCATTGGGTTAATGAAATGCATAAGAACACATAAATAAGCAGAGGTAATAACTGTACTGGCTCTACAGGTGGAAAAACATTGCATCGTAAAACATCTCCAAACCAGGCCATGAGCTGTGACATATGTAGGTCAGACTGATAAATCATGGAAGAGGAGGTAAATACTAAAATACTGTCCCATAACATACAATTGTGTCATTCGAGGATGCAGCATCTTGGTCTGAGATCATTAAGTTCTTATAAAACTTTATTTTTAGTTTTTAGTATAAACATGTTTTAAGACACTATTCCTTCCTTCCATACCAAAGTTCTCAAGCACACTTTGGTTATGCAGCAGGACAGTGATCCCAAACACACCAGCAAGTCCACCTCTGAATGGCTCAAGAAAAACTAAATTAAGATTTTGGAGTGGCCAAATCAAAGTCTGGACTTGAGATGCTGTGGCATGACCTTAAACAGTCCATTTATGCTTGAAAACCCTCCAATGTGGCTGAGACGAAGAAGAGTGGGCCAAAATTCCTCCACAGCGATGTGAAAGACTCATTGCCAGTTATCGCAAACGCTTGATTGCAGTTGTTGCTGCAAAGGGTGGCACAACCAGTTATTAGATTTAGGGGGCAATTACTTGTTCACGTAGTGTCAGGCATGTTTGGACAGCTTTTTTCCCTTAATAAATGAAATCATTATTTCAAAACTGCATTTTGTATTTACTCAGGTTATCTTTGTGTAATATTAAAATGTGTTTGATGATCTGAATCATTCACGTGTGACAAATATGCAAAAAAACCAACAAAAAAAAACAGGAAGGGGGCAAAAACTTTTTTCACATCACTATATATATATAAGCAATAAGGTACGAGAGGCTGTGCTGTATCGTGCATAAATCACGGCTGAAGGGCGTTGTTAGGCACGACGCGAAGTGGAGGATTTTTATAAAACTGTTACCACACAAAAAATATTAAAACCAAAAATGTATGTATTGAAATGTTACTTTTTTGAAGCAAGTTTGTTAAATGCTGTCCTTCCGCTA